GACAAACAAAGCTGCTATGAACATAGTTGAGCACATGTCCTTGTGGCATGATTGAGCATCCTTTGGATATATAACCAAAAGTGGTATTACTGGGTTTTGAGGAAGGTTGTTTCTTAATTTTCAGAGAAATTGCCACACTGACATCCAAAGGAATTGTACCAGCTTGCATTCCCACCAGCAATGCAGAAGTGGTCCCTTTCCCCACAACCTCTCCGCCATAAATAGTCATCAGTGTTTTTGATCTTGGCCATTCTTACAGATGTAAGATGGAGTCTCAGAGTTGTTTCGATTTGCATTTCTCTGAAGACTAAGGATGTTAAACATTTCCTTAAGTGTCTTTCAACCATTTTAGACTCCTCTGTTGAGAGTTCTCTGTTTAGGTCTGTACTCCATTTTTTTATTGGATTATGTGATCTTTTGGTGTCCAATTTCTTGAGTTCTTTGTATATTTTAGAGATCAGACCTCTGTCTGATGTGGGGTTAGTGAAGATCTTTTCCCATCCTTTAGGCTGTCATTTTGTCTTGTTGACTGTGTCCTTTGCTTTACAGAAGCTTTTCAGTTTCAGGAGGTCCCATATATTAATTGTTTCTCTCAGTATCTGTGCTGCTGGGGTTCTATTTAGGAAGTGGTTCCCTGTGCCAATGCGTTCAAGTGTACTTCCTACTTTCTCTTCTGTAAGGTTCAGTGTGGCTGGCTTTATGTTGAGGTCTTTGATCCATTTGGGCTTGAGGTTGGTGACGTTTTTAAGTGATAGGTTAATCAAGTTCATTTGACCACAACACAATTTTTTTGTCCTTAATCCCAGACTTACTGTTAACTGATAGTTTTGAGGTCAACTGAAAGATGAGTCTGGGAGGATACCTCTATCAGGTGTGCGTGCATAAAAGGGACTGTTTGCTTTTTTTGTGTTCTCTTCTGTTAGAAATGAACAGTTACCTCTAGACTGATCTCTTCACTTACTGGTGTACTGGTGCTATTCTGGTTGTTTAAGGAAAGGTTGAAGCTTCATGCCTTTATTTTTTTTTATTTATTTTTATTTATTTATTTTTAACTTATTTTATGAGCATTGGTGTGAAGGTGTCAGATTCCCTGGAACTGAAGTTACAGACAGTTGTGAGCTGCCATGTGGGTCTTGGGAATTGAACCTGGGTCCTCTGGAAGAGCAGTTAGTGATCTTAATCATTGAGCCATCTCTCTAGTCCCTTATTTTTGTTTTTGTTTTTTTGTTTTTAAATAATGTGGCTAAAAGGTGGTAGCACATGCCTTTAATCCCAGCACTCAAAAGGCAGAGGCAGGCGTATCTCTGGGAGTTCAAGGCCAACCTGGTCAACAGATCAAGTTCCAGGATAGCCAGGGCTTCACAGAGAAACCCTGTCTCAAAAAGAACACTTAAGTTATGTGAGTATGGCCTGTGCATTTGTGGGTGCAGGTACCCACTGAAACCAGAAGAGGGCAATGGATTCCCCTTGAACTGCAGTTAAATAAAATCTGCTATGAGCGGATGCTAAGAGCAGATCTTAAGTTTGAGAGAGCAGAATATGTTTTTAACCACTTTTAAGGTTTCACACTTCACATAGTAAAGAGAATTTGAGCATCCATCCATTTAGATGTCTGTCTGTCTGTCTACCTACCTACCTACCATCACATAGTAAAGAGAATTTAAGCATTTTTCTGGCTTTCTGTCTTGTCTGTCTGTCTGTCTGTTTCATTCAAGCCACAACAACAAGATAGAGTTTCTAGTTGCATTTCCCCTGTTAAATTACAGATAATGAATTACGTATTTAAGGACTAGGGATATTGTTCAATAGTTCTTGCCCTGGGTTCAGTAATTCTTGCCCTGGTTCATTTGCAAGGCCCTGGGTTCAATTCCTAGGGTATAAAAGAAGAAGACATAACAATTTACTTACATGAAGTCATAGCTAAATGACATCTAAATGCAGTGCTTTACCCTGGATAGGATCCTGTACTGTATTTTGTGATGATAAGATAATTGACATGTTGTTAGTAGCTTGAATGGAAGTATTAATTCAGTATAAATATATGGAGTTAATGATAGCATTAATACAGTTATATAAGAGAATATCCTTGTGCATGCTAGGCAAGCACTTTGATATTAGATTATACCTAGTACAAGAATGTCCTTGTTCTTATAAAGTAAGAATATAATGTTTAAAGGTAAAAGGACTATAGCATTTGTCTTAGGGTTTTTGTTGCTGTGAAGAGACACCGTGACCTCAACAACGCTTATAAAGTAAAACATTTAATTGGGGTGACTTACAATTTCAGAGGTTCAGTCCATTATCATCATGGCAGGGAGTATGGCAGTGGGCAGGCAGACATAGTGCTGTAGTAATAGCGGAGAATACTATATCTTGCAGGCAACAGGAAATGAACTGAGACACTGGGTGGTATCCTGAGCATAGGAAACCTCAAAGCCCACCCCTGCAGTAACACATTTCCTCCAGCAAGGCCATATGCACTCCAACAAAGACACATCTCCTAATAAGTGCCACTCCTTATGAGGATATGGGGGCCAGTTAACATTCAAACTACCACATTGTTCATAACCAGCTTCTTAATAGTTTATGGGGGACGTGTGTGTATAAGATATTTAAAGAGAGTATGAATGGCTGGGCGGTGGTGGCACACACCTTTAATCCCAACACTCTGGAGGCAGAGGTAGGAAGGTCTTTGTGAGTTCGAGGCCAGCCTGGTCTATAAGAGATAGATCCAGGCAGGCTCCAAAACTAGAGAGAAACCCTGTCTCAAAAAAAACAAAAAAACAACAACAAAAAAAATTCCCCCAAAAAGAGTATTAGTATACAGATGATGAAGCAAATGGAATATATTAACAATAGGTAAATCTTGGCGAAGATTTTTTTTTGTTTAAAAAAAAAGATAACTTTTGTTTAAGTTTTATTATGTTTTAGAATATCTTTTATTTATTCTTTGACAATTTGATACATGTATATACAGAATCTTGATCATGCCCACCACTAGGTTCTTCTCACTTCCTTCCCTTGGACATTCTTTACTAGGTCCTCCTTCCACATTCATGACCTGTCCTTTTTATTTTTTCCTTTTGTAAATTGCTGGATCCAATTACTGCTGCTTGCTAAAATGTTTACTAATCCCGTTGGCTTGATCTCGTCCACATATAACTGTGGCTACAGTGAGCTCATGAGTGTGGCAGTCACGTCATGTCCAGAAGACAGCACTTTGTGGTACTCTTTCCCATCTCTTGGCTCTTGTGTGATGTTCCCTAATCCTGGGGAGGAAGGTATTAAAATAAAGAGGTCCTATTTAGGACTGAGCACTCAAGAATTATTTTTAACACCTTGAAGAGTTAGAAATCTCTGCATTGTTGCTAACCGAAGAAAGAGGCTTCTGTGGCTAAGATTAGGAACATTATCAATCTTTAGATAAACATCAATATTTAGGAAGCAGTATCCATTTAGCAAAACAGCAGTAGTAGGTTTTCCACTAGGGCCTGTGACCTACCAAACCATGGACTTTGACCAGGTTTACAGTTTCAGGCTTGAATTCCTTCTTGTGAAGAGAAGGCCTCGGATCAATCCAGGAAACAGTTGGTATCCCCATAACCTACATGCCACTGTTGCACCATTGGGCATAGCTTGCTTGGCAGAACAGTATTAGAGTGCTCAGGGTTCAGTACTGAGTAAGGCCATTTATCTTTCTCTCCAGTGGTCTGCATAATACCTTCCAGCACTGAAAGTTAGCTACCAGGGAGGAAGTTTTCAACTCAGTTCCACCAATTTCTCTATGTCCTGCATCTGAAGTGAGTTGTCTATTCTAGTTGAAGAAACAAGAGCAATGGGAGGAATAGGCTCTGATGTTTTGGAGGCTTTGTATTCCATGCCTTAATAGCCTATATGTTCTAGGGAAAGCATCATTTACCTTTACAGAATACCAATGTTCAAATTTCTTTTTTTAAAAAAGATGGTTTTTGTTGTTCTTTTTTGAGGCAGGGCCAGCCAGGAACCTGCCATGTAGACCAGGCTGGCCTCGAACTCACAGAGATCCACCTATATCTCCCACATGCTGATATTAAAAGGGTATACTACCACACCTAGCTTTACTTTTTAAAAATTTGCTTGCAAAGTAATGAATTTCTATAAATTATTTATTTGTTTGGGTTTTTTTTTTTTTTTCTTGAGACAGGGTTTCTCTGTAAGTCTTCACTGTTTTGGAACTCACTCTATAGACCAGTCTGGCCTCAAACTCACTTTATAGACTAGGCTGGCCTCTAACTCACAGAGATCTATCTGACTCTGCCTCACAAGTGCTGGGATCAAAGCGTGTGCCATCACCACCTGGCTTTATTAATCTTTTAAAATTACGTATACATTTGTATTTGGGGAGGATGCACATAAGGACTCCAGAAAAGGGCATTGGATCTCCTGGAGGTGGAGTTACAGGTGATTGTAAGCTGCCTTATTTGGGGTGCTGGGAACCAAACTTGAGTTTTCTGTGTGTGTTTTTAACAATTAAACCATCTTTGTAACCCCTTCTCTTTCTTTTTAAGACCCCAGTCTCTTGTAGTTCATATTGGCCTTGAACTCAGTATGAGCCAAGGGTGGCCTGAACATTATCCTGCTAATCCTACCTTCCAAGTGTACCAATGCCAAAGCAGTACCATCACACCTGGTTTTATATGGAGCTGGGGATCAAACCCAGTGCTTCTTGTATGCTAGACAAACACTACCAACTTAATCACATCTCCAGTCTGGTTTCTATTTCTCTGACAAACCTTTTACTTTATAGTGTGCATATGAAGATTGAAGAAAAGATCACATTAACCTGGGGAAGAGATGGGGGATTACAGAATATGGAGTTGCATGGCATGATCATGCTTAGGATCTCAGATGAAAAATTTGGCCGGATTCGTCTCCATGTAGAAAATGAAGATAAAAAAGGGGTGCAGCTCCAGGTGTGTAAAGGCTTTTATATTGAGTATTTAGACATTATCTACCTAGCACAGTCTTTTTTTCTGGGTTTATTTGGTTTTGCAGGACTTAGAAATGGAATACAGACTCTTGCTTGAGCTGACTTTATACTCAACTATATAGCCTTAGCCTTCTTTCAGTTTTATTTGTTTGTTAGAAATGGGGTATTTTTATATAGCTTTGGTCTAAAGTATTAAGCCTTTATAGAAGGCACATCTTTCCACAAAATTAAAAAGAATTGTAATTTATTAGGAATTCTATTTAGGGGCCATATAAGCCTAGAGGGGTCTATGTAACAGAGTGAGATCTTGCATTTCTAATCTTGTAATCCTTCCTCCAACTGCAGAGTGCTAGGATTACAGGCAATTGAACCTGGAGTCCCATGCATGTTAGGCAAGTACTTTGCCAACTGGGCTACATTTTCAAGCTCCTCTTATTTATTTATGCTTGTATATTTGTCTCTGTGTCTAGAGGTCAGAGGATAACTTCCAAAAGTGTTGGTTTTCTCCTTCTCTGTGGCTCCCAGGGACTCAACTCAGGTCATTGGACTTAGCAGCAAGTACCCGCTGAGCCATCTTGCTGGCCTGGTTGACTTGTCATTCTGAACTTCAGATGCCCTTCTCTTCTCATTCCAGACCCATCCAAATGTGGATAAAAAGCTTTTCACTTCAGAATCTCTCATTGGCTTGAAAAACCCAGAGAAGTCATTTCCAGTCAACAGTGATGTAGGGGTACTTAAATGGAGACTACAGACAACAGAGGAATCTTTTATTCCCTTGACAAGTAGGTGCCTCTTCATGGGTATGTGCTTATCTTCATTGACATAGCAAGTTCTTTTTGGCAAAATGACTGTCTTCAAAATGCAATCACTGCTGTAATTGGTATATTTTAATTAATCATTTTAATTTTTTAAAGGTTTTATTTATCTTGTGTCTCTGTGAAATATATGCACCTGTGAATAGGTGCCTGTGATGGCCAGAAGAGGTCATCAGATCACCTGGAGCTGGACTTACAGCCAGTTTTGAGCCATCAATGTATGTTTTACATTAGAGTGCTACAGACCTGCAGTTGGCAGTCGGGATGTATTTGCCATCTTAACATGTCCCACTCCTCCATACTCTTGATCTTGGCCCCAAGGCCAAGAAACAGTTCTTTTTTTCTAAAGCTGAGGTATTATGGCCTTGTTTTTTTTTTTCTCAGTTAATTGCTGGCCCTCTGAAAGTGGAAATGGTTGTGATGTGAACATAGAATATGAGCTGCAGGAGGATAATTTAGAGCTCAATGATGTGGTCATCACCATCCCACTCCCGTAAGTGAAATTCTCCTAATAATCCTCTTCCCTGGGTTTATAGAGCTGGTTCCTGGTGTTCGGGGAGGAATTTTAGAGGCAGTACTTCACCGAATAACCACTTTGAAATGTTTATTTTTTTCCCTGTTGTGGTAATACCGATTAAATTTAGAGGCTTAAACATAGCAAGAGCTCTACCACTGGGCTACATTCCCAGTCCTTTTTACCTGTTTTGAGACAGGGCTTCACTAAATTGCCCAGACTGGCCTTGAATTTGTGATTCTCCTGCCTTAGTCTCGGGAGTAGGTAGGATTACAGGCATAAGGCACTAGACATGGCTGATACTTGCTTCTTTTTTTAAAAAAAAAAAAAAGAGTTGTGTTTGGCCAGGCAGTGGTGGTGCAAGCCTTTAATCCAACACTCAGGAGGCAGAGACAGATGGATCTCTGAGTTAGATGGCAGCATGGTCTATAGAGTGTGTTCCAGGACAGCCAGGGCTACATAGAGAAACCCTGTGTGTGTGGTGGGGGTGGGGCATCAGGGGCGTGATTAGCAGTGCAGTTAAGTTTGACACGTATACGTATGGAAAACTGTCAGCACAGGGAAGATAGACTTGTATGTCTAGCTGTTTGTGGTGGCTTAAACACTAATCCCAGCACTAGGGAGCCCAGAGCAGGAGGATCCTTTCTAGTTTGACTTTCAAGTCAGCCTGAAAGGCTACAGAAAGTCAAGGGCTACAGAATGAGATGCTGTTACAAACAATTCCTGTCACACACACATAAAACTCAGATTTCTGGTTCCAGTATGTCTTGTATATTTCAATGGTATATTCTCTAGGGTCATCTAGAACCTTGGAGAGTGGTAGGATTGGGCACTACTGACAGGTTGTCTCTGTTTGTTGAGATTTATTTTACTAGACTATTTTAGGATGCCATAGTTTTGAGGCCTCTCTCTGCTCTATAATTGTGGCTGTGGTGGTTTCCTGTGTCTTTGTTCAGTTTTGCAATGGCCTGGAGAAGAGATCTTTCGAGACCGTTTTACCCCAGTGTCTAGAGCTGATCGGATTAGAAGTCATAATTGGAATTGGAGCAGAGAAGGACCAAGCACTGTAGAATTGATGGGAAAGAGTTAAAGTCTTTTGCAACCCTTAAAGTAGTCTTTGTTTTTCTTACATACCCTGCCCCTAATGTAAGCACTGAGTGTCACTGGTAAATTAAAAGAGGGTAAATTTAGAATGTGTAGGAGTAGGTGACACTGCCTGTCAGCCATTTGTGGGAGTGCAGAGTACATCCTAACTAGCCCTGATTCTTCTGTGACCAAAAACAACTGGGTGTCTCATTTTTCCAGTCTGTTTCTATTTTGGCCAGACTTCATGCTTTCACTGTTCACTTACCAAATAAATTCACTAAATTATAAATCAGATAAATTTACTAGCATTGGCTTCAGTAAAGTTTTAAATATTCTGAACTCTTTTGAGAATAAATCTCAAAGATCCAATTTTCACCTCTATTTTTTGGTATGTAAAGTTTCTCCCTACTACCAACCTGTTTTGTTTTTTATTATTATTTATTAAAGACATACATTGTTTAAAAAATTCCTTAGCAGGCTAACAATCCATAAAGTGATTTTTACAGTAGAAACAGTTTTAGACAGTTGCAATCTCAGTTCCCTGTTAGCTCCGAGGCCTAGTTAGCACCCAGAGCTGTCTTAAATGCCTATTGTTCTAATGTCTTTTTCTACAAAGGAAGTCAAGTGATATCCTTAGCAATGGTGCTAGGATTTGATCCTCAAAGTTAGTGAGCAGCACAGTCTTTAAAAAATTTAGGCAAAATTTGAGATGTGTAGTTTTTTGTTGTTTTTTTTTTGGGGGGGGGGAGGTCTGGCTTTAGCTGTCCTGGAACTAACTTTGTAGATGAAGCTGGCCTTGAAGTCAAAGAGATCTACCTACCTCTGCCTCCCAAGTGCAGGGATTAAAGACATGTGCCCCACTACCCAGCTGTGATCAAATTGGGGTTGGCTTTCCTTTCCTTGTTGGAGTTCTCTGAGTTCTAGATAACTACAATGACCAGATGTTTCTCCTGACAGATCGGGTGTTGGTGCGCCAGTGATTGGTGAGATTGACGGTGAATATCGACATGACAGTCGGCGAAATACCTTGGAGTGGTGCCTGCCAGTGATTGATGCCAAAAATAAGAGTGGCAGCTTGGAGTTCAGCATTCCTGGGCAGCCCAATGACTTCTTCCCTGTTCAAGTTTCCTTCATCTCCAAAAAAAATTACTGCAACATACAGGTAATCTGTTCTGACAGACGGCAGAAACAAGTGTCTGATAGGTGGTACAGTTCCATGTCAAGGGAAAGGTCAAAGCTGAGGTGTTCTGCAGACTCCATTTCTGACTTGCTCGTCACCTTCCTTCCTTCCTTCCTTCCTTCCTTCCTTCCTTCCTTCCTTCCTTCCTTCCTTCCTTTCTTTTTTCTTTCCTTTTCCTTTTACAGCAGGGTCTGATTATGTAGCCTTGGATGACCTAGAACTTGCTGTGTAGACCAGGTGTCCCTCCAGTTTTTTTGTTT